GGGGTGAACTGAGTCATACAGCTGGCCTGGGGAGGGGAGAAGGAGGGAGATGATGTTTTCTTTTTGCTTGTTATGGTTTGTGGCTTTCTTTTCTTGTGGAATGGACTAGGGATGGGTTGGTTGGGTTAGTTCAATACATTTTTGACAACATTTTGTGTGAAGACTTGCGCTTGTGTTGGAACTCTTGATGCTGCTGGCACTCGCTTGCACTACTTACACCACTTGGACACTTTCTTCGGCATCCTAGAGCCAGATATTCATCGAACTCAAGCAACCCCCTGCCGCGTGTGGAGTTTCCTCCCCCAGAACATCCTTCTCAGTAAACCCCCTTTCTTGTTACTCCCGCCTGCACTCCCTCCTTGCCTCACAAGTTGGGGCCTGTTGCCCGCCTTCTCATACCCACCACCCTGAACCATTTCCCTCCCCACCTCCCTAGCCGTAGTTGTCGCCCTCTTCGCAGCTAGAACCTCCGCCCCGATAGTCTCAAACACCCCTTGTACCCCTTCCCCCGTCCTGGCACTAACCTCCATCATACATCTAACCCCCATCTTCCCGGCCGCCTCTCTCCCCTCATCCTCGCTAACCTCTCTCTCCTTGTCATTGTCAAATTTATTCCCCACCAGCACCACTGGATAAACCCTCCTGTTGGCGCTATTGTTCGGGGATGGTGTGAGTGGGTTGAAATGTTCCAAGATGAATTCCACCACCCCTTTCGCCAACCTGAAAGAATCGGCGCTTGCCGTGTCATAAACCACAACCGCCGCCTCGGTGATGGCCAGTGCTTGCTCCAGCAATGGGTTCGAAGATGACTGATTGGAAGGGAATTCTAGCGCGTGGATGATGTATTTCTTTTTTTTGCTGTCCCCTGTTGTGGAGGGGAGGAGAAAGATGGGATGTCGGCAGCTTCCTGAGTGGGACTCCCCTGATGGTGACGTTGTTGTTGCTGTTGTGGGTTGGGTGGCGGGAGGGAATGTGCCTTGCGAAAACTTCAAGTCTGTATAAGATAGCGAACAAATGGGAGGGGATAGGTGAGAAAGGGGGCGTACTCTGCTCAAAAGAGAGGATTTCCCTGCTCCTTTCGCCCCGAGGACCAACACGCGGAGTTCACCTGATGGTGGGTGGTCTTCTTTTTCTTGGGGTTGCCTGCGGTTTTGGGAGGAAAGTTGGATAGTTGCCTGTGGGGGAGGGGGCGGTCTCCTTCTGGGTTCTCTTGGTCTGGTAGCGGTGGCGTCGTCGTCTGAGGAGGGGGCGTCTTGCCAGCGGAGGACGGCTTTGAGGTATTTGGCCTCTTCTGCGGTCCAGACGAAGGAGGCGACCATTTTAGTAAAATAGACAAGTCTTCTTGCTAGATGGAGTCAGGTAGGTGGTGTGCAAAAGAGATTACGGCGTTGAACAGATGGTGATGGTGTAAGGTCAGTGAGCGATACAGCAAAGATGTGGATGTTTGGAATATTGAGCTTCTATTAGGATGTCAAGGACGCCCGTCAAGACATCACATCAAGGAGCTGACATAGCCGGCGCCACTTCCCAGCTTTGAAGAATAATGCATTGACTTCGCGGCCCCCATCGCAATACCATAGGTGGGCTGAACGCATCGCTGAACGGGAGCGCATTCTGGCAAATGTCACCTGTAACAGAGGCAGGATTCGGCCGAATTTGGCAGAGGAGAGATCTCCATAGATACTCTGGTACAGGTTTTCTTGAAGAACGGTTAACCAGCTGGATATTTGGATATCTGGATATTTGGATCTTTGCTACTGGTCATCAGTCGTGAGGCACAAGACATGAGCAGGCCAATCTGTTCAAGCTCCCACCATCAGCAACAGCGGGGTAATGGTAGGCAGCTTTTCACGAAACACAAGAAAAGTGTCGTATAACGTGCCATTTATCAAAGTGATTGTGGACACCACCCACTGAAAGAAAATAAAATGGCAACGGGGTTGGGTGTGATGCCGTCAGCAATACTGCGGCGTGGAACGGTGATAATTGGCATCTGGGTATCCAGATCGGGACGAATGGTGGGTGGTCAGTCGTCTGAACAAGACCCTGGTCAGCGGGGGAGGATCCCGACGGTGAGATGGCGAGGCTCTGTCATGCTGGCGTGAGATTTAAGCTCGGGAGGCCCCAGCCGAGCGGCAAAGGGGGCTTCGACCTGATACACTTGTTGCTGCCATCCCATGGCTAACGCTGTGTTGCGTGGTTCAGCGGAGGGGCTGCAGTAGTCGACTCTGTTGCTGCAGGTCCGTCTATTTATCGCGCGTTGCGTTGTGTGGCGAGGATTGTCGATGGTGACAGTTGCGAGCAGCTGGGAGGGGACCGGTGACCTCAACTGCAACCTCAACTTGATTGGCTATTAATAGGCCGCCGGCAACATTTTTCAAGTTTGGTGACGTCGGAACGATTGAAAGGTTGCAGACCGTTGATGAGACGAACTCTTGTTCACTAAGCCAAACGGTGTATGTGAACGTTGCTTATGGATGGCAGGAGAGGGGCATGATGATCGTGATGGAAAGTTGACACACCTAGGCCCCGCTGAAGGGCGCTGTGGCATCTCTTGGCCCCCAGGGTTGCTAAGCTTCGACCCCAATGCAACAGAACATCGCGCTTGGGGTCAGCAATCTGCAACATCTCCCCCACCATGGCTCTGGAATCAAGAATTCGTGCTCACCCTGTGCGGGGGCCTTCACATGGGGAACATATGCCCTTTCTGGAAGCCATGCGCCCTCTCCATATTCTCTCTCCGACAAAAGACCTGGTGTCGACGTGAGATGAGGCTCCAGGAGAGTTATCAAGGACAACCGCTCGGCCAAGAGATCACCCGTCCCTCAATTCCCATAGCCCATCAACCTTCAGCCCTATCGGCCTCCCGACCGAGACCCCCTTTGGCTTGCCGTTCTCTTGTGGCTCTTTTCGTCCCCGAGACTGAGGGTCCCAGGCACCACTTGGACCACTCAAACACCATCTTGACCTCAGCCGCACTGGTACCTGGACTTACAGGCGCCCAGGCCTGCATATTGGCTTTCCCCTCGTCACTGGAGCCTTGTTGTCGTCACCTAACTGCCAAATCCCGACAGGTTGCCTGTGTCTTGTCGTCTTTGTTTCGTTACTTGTTCCTTTTCTCTCCGGATCTGGGTTGACTACCATGTCATGATACCTGGCAATGGATCCTTCCTACCCACCGAGACCAAGACCTCCACTCCGTTCTGCCACTTCAGGCTCTGTCAGCAGGATATCTACCGTGTCTGACATTACCGACTTTGACAACTTCCGCGACGAGACAGGGGCCGTAATCCCCCCACGGCCTTCTTTGGTGTCACTCCAGTCAGACGACAGCCTACGACAACAGTTTGGGAAACGACCCTATGGTTCTGCCGATGATGTTGGCCACACTTATGGGGGAGCCTCAACCGGATGGACGTCGTTCATGGGCAATGGAGGCGGCGCATATGAGCCAATATCATCGCCCACCCTCATAGCACCACCTCAGAATGCCGGCCCCAGTTTTGCCCAGAGACAGCAACAACGACGCCACGATGCGATTCCGGAAGAGGAAGACGGTATTGACCTTGGGTTAATGAAGTCCGCTGCCCCGTTGGGAGGCGAGGAACCACCAGCACCCGGCCCGCGAGTCTCTAGAGCACCAACGTTCGATGTTAGCAGCGCGCTGGGCCCTGCGACAAAAGCCGATGAAGAGTTCTGGAAGGCAATACAGGAGCAAGAGGCACAGGGGAAGTTGACGGGGGGCTTGGGGAAGGGCATCAAAGCGGAAGCGACAATCACGGAAGATTATTTGCTGGCAATAACTCCCGTGACGGAACGACCCCCGAGCCGCACATTCTCCGTCTCGAGACGCAGCAGGCGGCTATCTCACACTGACACAGTGAAGAAAATGGCACAGAATGAGGCCAACAAACGCGGAGAAGTAATCGAGGTGGTCATGACAGAGGACACCGGCACTCAGTCCAAATTTGATCTCAGCCTGGTTGGTGGCCATGATCCGAACGTGGAGGACGAGCCAGGACAGTTTGCCATGAGGCAGACGACCTTTCCAACAAACGCCAGCAAAACAGAGGTCTTTTTTCCACAGCCCAACTGGAAGCCATTTTCCATGAGATGGCCGTACTTGATATGGTTGATTGTGGTATCCATTGTTATGGCCGTATCCGTGGAAATCCTCTACCGAAGCTCTGCCCAGGACGCCCTGGTCAAATTTCAATCACCCAACGATATCTCGACCGCCCAGTACTTTGCTGTCAAGTTTCTACCGATGGCCATTGCGGCCACATATGGTGTCATGTGGCAGGTTACCAACTTTGATGTCATGCGTCTTGAGCCGTTCTATCAGCTATCCAAGGAAGGAGGAGCACTGGCGGACGAGTCCATCAACGTCGAGTATCTGACACAATTCGTCTGGCTGCGTCCATTTCGGGCCATCCACTGCAAACACTATGCTGTAGCTGTGTCGTCAACAGCCAGCTTGCTCGCCAACACATTGGTTCCTGCCCTTGGAGCCGCCTCTTTGATCATAACCCCTGACCGCAACACTCGTCTGGACCGCCCTCACATAGAAAAGAGCATCCTCATACACCACGTCTGGTCCCGTCTTTTGACAACCTTGCTCGTCATCATCGCCGCCTTTGGGTGCGTCCTATTCTATCAGCTCCAAACCCGCCGGTCTGGCCTATTAGCCGACGTCAAAGGCATCGCTGGCCTCGCCGCCATGGCAACAGTCAGCCACATCCTCATGGACTTCAAAGACATGGACGTAGCCACCCACCAAGACATTCACAGCAAACTAAAAGATCATCGCTACGTCCTCCGCAACTCATCCCTCGCCCCAGACGACACCAACCCCCCTTCCATCCAAGAACGGGAAAAATACACCAAAAACCACCTCTCTGCTAACCCTCATCCCATGATGCTCCGCCCAGCCGGGGCATACCCCTTGATATCCGGCATCTTCGCCTTCATCGCCCTCATTCCCATATTCCTCTTCACCCCCGCCACAGTCTTGACCGACCGCGCCCCCTGGTTAATAACCGTCTTGGCCGTGTGCATCAAGCTCTCCTGGGGAGCACTAGAGACAGACGTCCGCCTCATGCAACCATACTACCTCCTCTCCCAACGACACGCACCCCCAAAGACGCTAACGCTCGATTACACCGCCATGCCCTTTGGCTGGGTAGCCATCAGAGGCCTAATCAACAAACACTGGCTAGTCTTCTTCGTCGGCTTCGGCACAATCCTCACAGAGATCCTCACCGTGCTGGTAACCTCCCTAGCAACAGTCGAAGGCCGTGTTTTCATCTCCTCCGCCCCCACAGCCACCGCCACCTCGTTGGATCTCAACGCCGGACAGGAGACAATTCCATCTTTCTGGATAAGCTTCACGCTTGCTCTGTTGATTCTGCTGTATATGGGGGTGTTGAGCGTCGTTACCCATTTGAAAAGGAGGAGGGTGTTCTTGCCGAGGCAACCGAATACTATTGCGAGTGTGCTGGCTTACATACACCAGAGCAAGATGCTTTATGACTTTGTGGGGACGGCCAAGTTTGGGAATAGGGAGATGGAGGGGTGGCTGGAAAGAGTGGGGAAGAGGTATGGGCTGGGGTGGTTTAGGGGAAGGGATGGGCAGAGTCATTGTGGGGTTGATGAGGAGGAGCTGGTGAGTGAGTGGAGGGTTGGGTATGATTACAGTCGGGCGACGAGGCCTTGGGAGGAGGAGGGGAGGAATTGGTTGTAGGGTTTTGCTTGGTGTGTGTGTTGGGGGGGGGGAGGGAGTTTGTAGTTTAGTTGAGGGTGAGATAATGCTAATTTGATGATGAATGCGATGAACAAGCTATCTGGAAAGGGTGATGTCGTTGTGATTATGTCTTGGTAAAATACAGGCTAGGTACCCGAGCAATTGCATTTTTTGCCGACTTGTTCGATATATACGTGAATCTACACTTCTAGGGGATGCATGGAGCTGGGGTAGGTGGTATAACAAGCTCGAGGAGATGACATTTGAAACTGGGATGGGCCATAACAGCAAAGCTAGGATAGATAGTCTTGTAGTCTCGGAAAACTGAGTGTTATCAATCAAACCCGAGCTTCCAATAGACTTTAAATGCTGGGATAAAGGATGTTTAAAAGCTTGGATAGACGGCATGGAAAGGTTAGGAAGTGTTGAAACCATGTTTCTTTCACCAACGGATTTTTCACTTTTGACACACTGGAACAATGACACGATCTCAAGGATGTCTTATCACCTTTCAAGGATCCCTCGGATAAGCTGATGTTAGTGTGCCTGTCCCTCTGTCGACAACATAGCTGTCTTTACAGGGGATCTGCAGCTAGACATGTATGTGAGAACTGTTTGACATCTGTATGCAGACCATCATGACTTTTGGAGCTAGTCCAGGCCTTCAAAGTAATTGGCTAAAAGCTGAAATTACGAGATATAAACCCACAAATGTGGCTGTTCTCTTCAGCTGAAGAGAATATAGTACAAAGACGCGTGGCATCAGATCACTGCGGTGGCCAGCAGTCCACCACCACCTAGACATGACGCTAGCGATCTCTTACAGAGGTGTACACCAAAATGTCTGATTGGTTCTCCCATCATCTCATCGCTCTTTGAGCAACCATCAATGTTGACGATGGGATCTTAGGTGTATGTAGGTAGTCCCTGCATACCAAACATGCAAAGTCCCTTTGTCATCTTCAACGCCTTCCCGATGCCACCTCCCACTGCCAACTCTTTCATCAAACATGATCTCACCTCTTTTACCAACCACCTCATCCAAAAAAAAATCCAAAAAAAACCAGATGACATCCCGCCCAAAAACAGGGCCGCCCGTTTCCTTGCCCGCCAAGAAGTTCATAAGTGCTTTGCCAAGCCCAATGTACACAGCCCCGGATTCCTGCTACGTCATCAGCCCGATCGCCAATCACGCTCCTCCACAGATTCTCAGACACACAGAAGAGAACATACTGGGCTTTTCTGGTTGGTCAGGCCGATGGGTGAGGCCCCTTGCCGATTTCCCGCGATGCGGCATGGCTGAGAAGGACTGGGCAGGCTGATGACGTCGGCCTTCATTAGGTGTGAATGTGGTTGAGTGTTCCTTGCTGGGCTGGTGGGTTTCCATGTTTCAGGGTGTGGGCCTTATGGGACAAATACAAGAAAGACATTCCAGCTGCTCTGGATGGTGGATGAATTTCCCTTTCTTCTCATCATCCGGTGATTTTGATACGTTTATACGTTTGTCCCACAACAGTCAGGCTCTTCAAGATGGCCCGGACAGGCTTCATCCACCACTTTGGCACCTTCTTGCTGTTTTCAGCCACCGTCTTGCTGATCATCACCTGCATCTCGGCCCCAGTAGTGAGATCTATCGCTCTCCTCAAGGTCGAGCTCCCTGGCGGCGGGACCAACAATGGCGGGTTCAACTTCCTGCCCGATCTTGCTGATGGGGAGAGTGGACGGAACGGAAACGATCCCTCGGTTACGTTTGGTGTTTTTGGGTATTGTTTGAATGATGTCCTTGGGTAAGTTGACCTCCTCTCTTCACTCCACCGCTCACCCCATGATGCTAAATGACGAGTGAAAAACAGAGGCCAATGCCCCCGCCACCTCGGGTACTCCCCCCTCGGCATCATCCAGGGCCTCGTCGGCCCCAACCGTGGCCAGTCGGGCAACCCCAACTTCTCCCCCGAGCAGACCTTTGGCGAGTTCTACTCTGACAACTCGGTGCGCACCTCGCGCGCGCTCACAAAGGCCATGGTCCTCCACCCCATCGCCGCGGCCTTCAACTTTATCGCTTTTATCCTTGCGTTGGGCGCGGGTATGGTTGGATCGCTGCTGGCGTCTCTTGTTGCTGTCTTGGCCTTTATCATCACGGCTGTGACCTGCATCATTGACTTTGTCCTGTTTGGCATTGTGAGGAGCAATCTGAGCAATGGGTGGGATAGTGACGATGAGGATAGCTTGGGGTTGCAGGTGGAGAGGGTTTACTATGATAATGCTGCCTGGATGACGCTCGCGGCTGCGGTGTTGAGCTTGGTCGGTGCTGTTGTTGTTTTCTTCAGCTGCTGCAGTGGGAGGATTCATAAGAGGAGGGAGAGGAAGAGGGCTGTGAAGGGGGAGGTGCCGGCTACTGATTATGGGACTCCTGTTGCGCCCAGGAGGAGGCGGAGATGGTTCTAAGGGTCCGAGGATGCCCTGATGATTAACACTGGTGTAGAGGGGAGAGTGGTGAGAAGGAGTAATGAGTCGATGATGTGAGAGCGGAAGACGAGAGGAGAGGAAGTGGTGGATGGGGTGTTTACTCTTCTATATGATACCAATGTCTGTTATGTAATAATTGGGGTTCGATGTTTTTATTTTATACGACGATACATACTTGATATTATGAACACACTCTGGCCCTGGTTCATCTGTGATGTTGACATTTGTCAGATGTGTTATGGAGACTTCAAAGAAGGTAGTGCAGGTACGGCGAAGTTTACTTGGTTAAAATCATGAGTTCGTCCTTTCAATCATTGATCAGCGGCTGTGGTGTAAGATCTGAGCATCACTGCATCTCCCTCACAAGCCGGGGAGGCCCTGGAGTTGCCGACAACACAAAAAAAGTGTTGGACGTTGAGACCATGGCGATTTTCTCAGCGGAGTGGGGCCAGCCGAATGTTTGAAATCTTTGTGCGCTGATTGGTGAATGGCAGCGGAAGAAGACCGGGGTGGAGCAACCCCGCCAATTCCCGAGGCCGAGAGTCGAGAGTGCACGAAACCAGATTGGGGCATCGCACGCCTAATGGTTTGCTGTCACCTGCCTGTGAAGAGACGCAACTTTCTTCGGCGTTCGCTGTCCTTGATCCCACCTCGGGCCCAGATTTCCGGAGGCGACATTTTCTTCTCATTTATATACAGATTGTGCCTTTCTTCCTCCCACTCCGAATGCTGCCCTGACCTACCGATCGACCGACTGCCAATCTGTTGAGCCTGTCAGGAAACACCGGACCCTTCCAGCCCGCCCCAAAAATCCAGCCATCAATCACTGTCGCATCGCGGCGGCGGACCTCGCTCTCTCTCCTCGTGCGGCACGGCCCCTGACGGCTCGATCGGCGGTGGTCCTGAGAGAATACGTTTCAGTTCGAGAAATCCTTCAACTACGGCTGAGAACCCTCGATTGACTCACGTCACTCTTCGATCGGTCGCCCGCTTACACTCTTTCTCAACTCCTCCAACTTTGCCACACGTTGCTGTTGCCATCGTCCAATATGTCTTTCTCTAGCCTCGTTCAGGACTTGTCCCTCCGCGACAACGGTGTAGCGCGCAGACGAGGTGACGCCTCCGTTTCGACCGTCAACGACACTGCTTCCCGCACATCGCACATCTCGAGAGCCATGTCGTACGCCAGCACTTCTGCCACGAGCGTCAGCATCTCTGGTGATATCTCGAGTCAGCTGCATGCTGGTTACAGCCATCCTCTTGCGCGGTCATGGCAGGCCGAGCGCCAATTGACCAAGGTGCGCCTTTTGGGATTGCTCGTCCCCGCAAATATCAGCTGACGCCTTTTGTTTCTCAGTCCATGCTCATCTACCCCCTTTTCGTGTCTGATCAAGACGATGAGGAGGTGCTTATTCCCTCTCTCCCGTGCCAATACCGCCGCGGTGTCAACAGGCTCATTCCGTACCTTGAGCCGCTCGTCCAGAAAGGTCTCCGTTCCGTCATCCTGTTCGGTGTGCCATTGAGACCAGGGACCAAGGACGCCCTTGGCACCTCCGCCGACGACCCGCAAGGTCCCGTCATTCGCAGCATCCAGCTTCTGCGCCAAAGATTCCCCCATCTTTATATCGTTGCCGATGTCTGCCTTTGCGAGTACACTTCCCATGGCCACTGCGGTATCTTGAGGGACGATGGCAGCCTGAACAACCAGCTGTCTGTTGACCGTATCTCCGACGTTGCGGTCTCGTACGCTCGGGCTGGCGCTCACTGCGTTGCGCCTTCAGACATGAACGACGGCCGCATCCGGGCCATCAAGCTCAAGTTGATTGAGGAGGGTATTGTGCACAATGTGACGCTCATGTCGTATGCTGCCAAGTTTTCCGGATGTCTTTACGGACCCTTCCGCGATGCTGCTGGCTCGGCGCCCTCGTTTGGTGACCGTAGATGCTACCAGCTCCCCCCTGGAGGTCGTGGCCTCGCTCGTCGGGCCATCATCCGTGATATCAGCGAGGGAGCCGATATCATCATGGTCAAGCCGGCTTCTCAGTACCTGGACGTTATCAGCGATGCTAAGGAGCTCGGCAAGGACCTGCCCATTGCGGCCTACCAGGTCAGCGGCGAGTTTGCCATGATTCACGCGGCGGCCAAGGCTGGTGTTTTTGACCTCAAGGCCATGGCGTTTGAGAGCACAGAGGGCATTCTCAGGGCGGGAGCGACCATCATCATCAGCTACTTCACACCAGAATTCCTGGACTGGCTGAGCAATTGAGCGGGTGTCAGAATGATACACACAGGAGCGGGCACGGAGTCTGGGCGTTTTGGGAGCACATGGATTAGAGCCGGGGGTTTTCATGGCTGTGACGTTAAACCAAAAAGTAGTTTCTCCAGGAGTTGCGTAGGTACTATGTTTGGAGCAGCACGACTGATCCTAGACGCGCCTCTTGCTGCGGGCGCACCGACAATGTTATTCATATCTCTTCTCTGCGTCTTGACTGTTGCTGATGGATACTGATGGATACAGGGGACCCACAGACACAGTTCGGACTTTTGAGGGCATACCTCGGAATGCCCGGCTCTGTTCTCCAGGCTCTGGATCGAGCGGCACTCGGCGGCAGTGGAACAAGAGGAGAAGGGGAGATCGGGATGTGGGGGTCCGGGGAACAACGGTGGGGCGACCCGAATGCTTGGTTCAACGTTCAGGCCCCTGGCCCCCTGGATTGGTAAACCTTATTTCGTCCTCACTCTTGTTGTCTGGGAGACTTGAGTTGACCTGACTGGCTGATATTGGATAGCAATCGGTCTTATCCCCACAAGCGAGCACTATGCTTCCTTTCATGATGGACCTGTTTGATTCCCCAAGGACCATCCATTGTGTGTGGTTTTGCTGGCATGATGTTGGGCGAATCAAGACCTCATCATGAACATCAGTCAGCATAGCCCCTCATGTAGAGACTCTAGCCTTGTGCTGCAGATATCTCGGATGAAACGCCAGGAACCGAAAATAACCGGCGGAAGGGTACGACTGTTGGTGACCGTGGAGAGTTGACGCTAGATGCTAGCCACCGTTTCGTCTTGGTTAGCCCCCTTTTCTCTCGGCATGGCAAGAGGTTGGGTTATTTCTGTAGGTTCATATCATCTCAATGTCTTCTGTTCTTCCTCTCATTTATTTTCCTTCTGTGTTTCGTTCTCTTGTCAGTTAGAGCCGTGATTATCTCTTCTTCATTTTCGAATCGCAAACCATCCTCAGCCGGCTGGTCAAATACTCGGTGCCGTCTGGGTCCTGTACCCGTTTTTCCCCTGACCGGAAACAACAAGCAAATCATGGCGGGATACACCCCCCTCACATACCAGGAAACCCTCAGCCTCCCTTCTTCTTCTTCGTCCTCTTCATCCTCCTCATCCTCCTCCTCCTCCTCCTCATCATCATCATCATCATTTGACGAAACAGAAAAGTTCATCCCCGACCTCGAAACACACGACCCCCTTTTCACCCTCCCGCCACCATCCCCCTTGCCTCCCCGTCACCGCCCACCACGCTCCCTTTTGAAACGCACCCTCATCTTCCTACTACCCTCCTTCCTCCAACCAGGCTACGTCCAACCAATCCCCAAGTCCCCCACCGCCTACCTCGACGGCATCCGCGGCCTGGCCGCTTTATTTGTCTTCTTCTGCCACTACCTCTACACCTGCTACACCATCGCCACCGGGTACGGGTATGTCCCCCCACCTCCCTCCCTCGACGACAGCGACGGTGACTTCCACAATACATCCTCCTCCGGCCCCTACAACGAATCCCCCTTCCACAGCAGCACCACCACCACCACCTCCCTCCCCCCCAACCCCTACACACCAGACCACCTCCACCCTTTCAAGCTCCCCTTCATCCGCCTTTTGTACTCCGGCCCCCCGATGGTGGCCGTGTTTTTCGTCATCTCGGGCTACGCTCTATCCCTCAAGCCCCTCACCCTCCTCGCCTCCCAAAACTGCTCGGCCTTCTCCACCGCCCTATCGAGCCTCATCTTCCGGCGCTGCCTCCGCCTGTTCCTCCCGCCGGCGATCTCCGCTTTCTTCGTCGTCATCCTCACCCGGATGGGTGCCTACACCGCCATGGGTGACTTTGCCGCACTGATGAAATGGTCTACTGTTCGGAATGTTTCAAGAAGAGCGCACTATGAGGGCGCTGAAACTCGACGGCCAGAGCCAGATGCTGAGACTGGGGAAAGGGGGTGGGGGAGATTTATGCATGTCTGGGATTGGGAGGGTGGCGGGCGGGCTGAACGAGGATGGATGTTCACCTCTGGACTATACCTGTCGAGTTTAGGGCTAGCATGATTTTGTTTTTGGTGCTCGTCGGGACGGCGAGGGTGAAGAGGGGGGGTGAGGCGGTGGGCTGGTGGGGGGAGGGGTGGTGGGGTATTGTTTTGGGAGCGGGAGGTGGGAGGTGGTGCTTTTCTTGTGGGGGATGGGGTTGGCGGAGCGGGATGTGTGGAGCAAGGACAGGAAGAGAAAGCAAGGAGGGGGGTGGGGGTGGGTGGTGGTGAGTCTGGTGGGGTTGTGGTTCATGAGCCAGCCTGATGTGGGGAGCGAGAGGACGCCTGGGTGGGTGACGCTTACGGACATGATACCGGGGTGGTGGGAGGAGGAGGAGAGGTATAGGTACTACCAGAGCCTCGGGGCGGGGTTGTTTGTGATGGCTGTGGGGAGGTGTAAGGGGTGGCAGGGGTTTTTTGCCTGGGGACCGGTGCAGTATCTGGGACGGATTAGCTATGCGATGTACTTGATGCACGGGCCGGTGTTGCATACGTTTGGGTATGCTGTTGAGAGGTTTGTCTGGACGAGGATCACGGGGGTAGAGACGGAGGGGAGGTATGACCTGGGCTTTGGTCTGGCGGCTCTGGTCATTGTCCCGGCGGTGATCTGGGTGTCGGATATATTCTGGAGGGGGGTGGATGCCCCGGTCGTGAGGTTCGCGAGATGGGTGGAGGGGGTGTGTTCTGTCAAGGAGTGACGCGGCGGGGGGGGGGGTTTGATGATTGGATTTTATGTGCTACGTTGCTTTTGTAAGAATGGTTTGGGAGTTTGGTAGCGGGTGATGTCGTCTGTCTTGGATATTGCTTGCTTACACAATAATGCCGCCATAATGTTTCACCACTGCAAATGAAGACATGTAAGCTTCCACTGACATTGATGTAGTTATCTGTCTCCAGGCCAAGCACTTTATTATCCGGTGTTACGGATTGTCTTTTATCTTAACGTCTGGACCCCTCATTGCTTGAACTCAACGTCTTGAAGGACTGACTGTTAAGGTCTTGGAAACCTGTTTCAAACACCAAAGGCTTTAAAGTTTTTCTTTCTTTTTTTTCTCAAAGTCTAGAAAACATGAAAATGCAATGCACCGTCCAAGGGTGTTTGTTATGTTACACAACCAATGTGTAAAAAGTGCAGTAAATCCCACTCATGAAGCTCAGGTGTGTTAGCGGTGAATAGGTTGAATTTGGTCTCAAATAAAGAAACTATCCCAACTGTTAAAATAATACAAGGAGTGTCTTTTCGGTCTCGCAGTTTCTCTTCTCTTTCTTAGTCTGTCATTGCTGTGGTTTGATGTGTTTTGTTTTGTTTTGTTTTGTTTTGTGTGTGTGTGTGTGTGTGTGTCCCAAAATTCCACCAAAATGAAGCGAAAGGGCTCTTTGATATCAATAAAAACTGTTTAACCGTGAACAAACATTCCCATAACAAAAAAGAATAACAAGAAACCCCATATCCAAGAGAACATCCCGGCCATTCAAAACGCCCTTTGAAATCAAAGTTCAAGAAAATAACTCTCGGCCGGCTGTCAGCCTTGATTACCCCCTCGGTTTTACACCCCCAAAGCCAACCCCTCCTCCACCTCCTCCAACCGTTTCAAATCCCCCCCCGCCGCCTCCACCGCCCTCGCCAACCGCTCTTTGAACTCCCTCGCCTTCTCCTTCGCCTCCTTCTCTCTGCGCAACTTTGTCTTGCTGCTCCCGCTCGGCGCGACCCCCGTCATGAGGAGCTGCTTGTCGTTCGGCGTGTAGTTCACAAATGACCCCCCTCCCCCTCCACCACCATTATGCTCCACACCACCCATACCGGCCAGTGCCGCAAGCGACGAACACGACGCTGTCCGGCGCGTGGATTTATGACCTCGCGACGATTGGGAAGGAGAGGCGAGAGAATGGAGGTTAATCTGCGATGAGGAATGCGAGACCCGACGGCCGGTCCAGGAGCGGCGTTTTCTTATTGCGGCGGAGGATGATTGGGAAGTAGAAGGGGGGTCGAGGAGGGTGCCTGAGGGGAGGGCGGTCATGCTTGTTGATCTCCGGTGTGATCTACCGCCAGGGGGGATAGGTTTGGAGGAGGTGGTGGTGGTTGTTGTTGTTGGGGAGGGGGTTGTTGACGAGCCGGAGGCGACGGTGCGAGTTTTCCTTGGGGACATGCCCGGGCCGGAGGTGGTATAGTGGTGGTGGCGGGCTCCTGAAGAAGGGGCGCGGGGTTTGGGACGCCGGGAGGAGGAGGAGGAGGATGATTGTTGCTGTTGCATCTGGGCGCGGTATTGAGGGTGGAGGACTGCAGAGTTGGGCCCGCGGGGTTGGGGCATGTGAAGCATTAGGTTTTGGGAGACGGAAAAGTCTTCTGCTCCGGGGGGGAGGGGGTATTCGAAGGAGTTGGGGGGGAAGTGCATAGCCAAGTTGAGGGAGGCGTCACGGGGGTTGGTGGTGGTGGAGGAGGTGGTGGGAGGGAAAAGGTTGGTTATCGGGTCGGTGTCCATTGCGTCGATGCCGGTTGTGTCCCCCCCGTTGGTGTTGATTTCGCCCTTGGGCGCAAACACGCCGCCTGGGTATTTTCGTTTTCTTTTGGCTTCGGGTGGGATGGTATGGCTGAGGGGGGTTTGGAGTGGGGTCTGGGGGATGTTGTTGGTGTTGTTGTTGATTGGTAATGGCGGGGGGACTTTTGGGTGTGTGCTTACTTTTGGGGTTAGCCAAGGGTGGTGATATGCCCGGGTTTGCCGCCCCTTCCTCTTCTTCTTATTGTTGTTGCTGCCATTCATCAGTTGATCACCACTGATGGTCTGTGGCTGCGATGAGGTAGGCACCGCACCGGTCAGTGGTGGAGAAAGGGGTAGTTGTGATTTGGTGAGATCCAGATTGACAGGTCTTGGTCGACCTGGCCGAGGCTTTGCTGCCCCTCCTCCCATCTGGGCAGAAGAAATGACGGGAGTCGAAATGGATTCTTGCTTGATCTCCATCTGTTGCTGTTTTGACTTGCCCTGAAGTGTGGAAGCCGCTTTGCTGCGGAATCTCGAACAGAAAGCCCCTAGGCGACTAGTCTTCTTGGGACTGCTTGCCAGAGGAGTGGGCGAGGGAGGAACAGAAGCGGCTGGCTGAGGCACTTCGACTTTTGTCGCGCGCATCGACAGCCCCTCGAGCTTGAGAAGCTCCGAGTCTGACACGGTTCCTCCACCGAGAGCTTCTCCAAACCCGCTGGTGGTATAGGGTAGGCCGTCAACCTCGGTATCCGGTTTGATCTTGAGGTCCCCAATATTGGTCGTCGATCGTTGAAGTCGCTGTGCCTGTTGCTGGTGAAACTGACGAGGACGGGCAATGATAGGGGAGTTGACGGCACCCTGCCAGCCACCGGCAGGCAAACTGTGGCCATTGACGTTGCCGTGGATGGCTCCCGGTGGCCCGAAGTTCCCGTGAGTCCCAGCCGCACCACCACCGCCAGTCTCGGCGGCGATGGGCATCGACAGTGATGGTTCGATGGACGAGAGCTGTGGCGACATGGGCAGGCCAGAAGCGCCGCAAAACTGGCCGAGGCCGCCGCCCCCTTCCGCGGTAGTTTCCGAGTCGGAGCCATCGAACATGACAAATTGGTCAAAGAAATCGGTCGATCCTGCCTCGTCCATGTCATGGCTGTAGAAGCTGCCGCTTTGTTTGTTCCCCGCGAGGGGTAGGCCGCCAGTCACGAAAGCCACGCCCTCGACGCCAGCCATTGTTTGTCGTGGTCGGTAGCGAATCGCAGTCTGGTCGAGTCGGCGCCGTAGGTCCTGCTGCTATCGAGCTCTGGTGCTGGTGCTGTGCGGTGTGTGTCTTCTGGTAACGAGTATTTGACTGTTCCAGTATGCCATGTTGGGGGCAAAGAAAGAGAAAGAAAAAAAGGGGTCTGTTGTGTGCTGGTGTTGGTGTAGGGGTTGAGCGGCAGAAAAATCAACAAACCAAGCCAACCTGCCACGGCAACACAAGGTATGGAAGCGTTTAGGGGTGGGATGGGGGTGTTCAACACATTTGTACTTGAGGGTCTCATCAGAAGAGGCCCCTGTCCTGCCGAGGAATGGGTGGGTTGCTTCGACACGGTGATCCATTCCAGGCGCATCACACCCACTGGATCTCGTGGTGGGCTTGGGTTCTGGCCGTCTCGAGGCACCCCCCTTGACGCCTCATCAGTGGCGTCTCGTCCAGTGAGGTGGAGAGCTGTGGGCAAGCTTACCAACAAAACAAAGGCTTACTCCCGAATTCCTTGTCTTTGAAGACCACTAGCGAGCATACTGTGCGGTAGCTTCTCAGCACGCAACAAAGGCATCGGCTCTGACTGGAATGCTAAGATACCCCCGCGGGTGATATGTGCAAGCGATTGTCATTCACACGAGAAGCCCCGACACAATAGCACCATCCCAGCTGGCACCTCTGTTGTCGCTGGTTTCGAACATCTCGTCGGAAAGTTCTCCGAACTCTACCTGTAGAAGTATGTAAAACCAAAAGTTCAAGTCAAAAAGTGAACAGGAGACACTGACCAATGACTCCTCCCTTGCCACGACCTATTCATCCACATCCAAGGCAAACATAATCACTGACGAGATCCACTTGTGAAAGAAAACAGTGTGGCCAAGAAATAAAAGATGACAAGGAGCGAGCTCCCCGTCAACAATGAATGGTGATGCATTGCCGTGTGTCCAAAAAAAACTCTAATCAGTTTGTTTCTCGTACATTGTTGCAACCATGACCCCCTCCCCATTCTTCCCGCACTATGCCAAAAAAGCCTTGAATGTGCTCCCATAGCACAGCTAAAAAAAATAAAATAATAAAAATAACACAGGAAAAAAAAAGGCCTTTGTGTGTAGAGACTGCGCCGGCTGAACAAGATGATGGTGCTCAATGGCCCTTTTGGCACGTCCATGTGTCTAAAATGTTTTGCAACGCCCCTGTAAAATGGTGGTGTGGGTATTCCCCAAAGTTTTGCCCCCATAAGCCAAAAAAGAATGCCCAAACTCCTCGATATATGCAACAAAAAAAACCAACAAAGACAAGCTACACAAGCTTCTCTCCTGAGAACCCCTGACGCCGAAGCCTTGGATCATCGCTCGAACTCCTGTTGAAACACCCAGAAAGTAAAGAAAAGATAAAAACCCTGTAATGAGCAGACGGCCGCCGATTTGTAAGTGGTGAGATGGGATCGATCGGCTGGGGTATCATATATCCATATATGTTGAATATCAAAACCAAAATGTACAACAAGAACGGACCCTTCTAGGGTTGAGTGTAGGGTGGTGGTGGTGGCGGCATGGACGAGGATGAGGGTATGGTGGGCCCAACAACAGGTGAAGAGATGGCCGACGTCATGGCAGAGGAGACGGTGCTTCCGTGGCGCGACTTGTCTCTCTTTCGCATTCTGGGGCGGTTTCTGACCACGTTTTGGCAGCGAAGCGCCGCGTCGACGGACAACCGGTACCGGAGAGCGACACCCCCAATCGATTGCTTTCTAACACCGCTGGGAGCATGTGCGTGGCGTGCAGATGACACCAAACCGTCAAGCGCAATATCACCGGTGTCGTTTTCGTCCACCTCCAAGCTGCTGTCCCAATTTGGCATGGCACAGTCTGGGTCAACTTCGATAACGACGGGTTCACCCACAGGAGGTGCCAACCACGGTCTTGGGATGGTCGCTGCAGGCGGCGGCGGCGGTGGTGGCATAGGCTCGCTGCGTACATTGCACTGCGTTTCGTTGTCAATCATGGCCTGTAGGCGAGCCTGCAGTGCACGCGCGCTGGCATGTCGACGGAGCTCCTTAAAGTCGAGTCGTTTATCCTCGGGCTTCTCAGCTGTCTCTGGTAAAATAGTAGGTGGCTGAGACGATGTGGGTTGTTGATATTGTTGATCCACCTCCACATGTGCAGGAAAAGGCGTTGTAAACGTTTCTGCGGCGATGGATGGCGTCTCAGGCACGACAGGAGGCATCGATTGCAATGGCGAAGGGGCCATTGGCAGTGACGACTGTGCATTTACACGGTTGCTGTGTTGCAAGTTTTGCTTGCTCAGCTCGCGGGCCAACCTGTCGACGGTTGATCGTCCTGGGGGTGATGCGTTCCCAGGTAACGGTTCGGGTGATGGTGAATCGGCCGGCTGTGGTGACGATGAGGCTTGGCGCGATTTCTCCCTATGTCTCCGATAACGCTGTCCATTGTGCTGATGATCTCGGTGCTGGCGTTGAGCTCGTTGTTTCCTCCACTCTTCAATTCGACTGGCAAATTCGACTTCCTCCTGCTGCTCGTCTTCATCCTGGTGGTGCCCATTGTCTTGTCGGGGCGCCCTGCCTTCGTCTCGGTTGTCTTTGTCCCCCTCTGCATCGTGGTTGAGCGTCGAGCGCCAGTGTACGGATTGGCCGTACATGGCTGATTGACGCTTTTCGAGTTGGCCGACCCAGCTGGACGGGCGACGGCATACGGGAAACCGCTGTTCGGGACGGGTTTGACGGGGGGGAAGGGGAAGGGTAAGGGTAAGGGGAAGGGGAAGGGGAGGTCGATAGTTTTATGAGGGCTTGGGCGTTTTCCCTATTTCCTGCGCTACCGAGTAGTGTATTCCTGCGCGGGCTTGAGCGCCGTGGCGGCCACGCTGAACCGGCGTGGCTCTCGTGGTCGGGGACTTGGCAGCAGACGGTGGATGGAGGAGATGTCGGCTGCGATCAATTATGCAGACTATACACTGACTGACTGGCTGAAGGACTCGAGAAGAAGACAAAGACAGGAAGGAAAAAGGAGCTGTCTCATCAGCTGCTCAAACACGCAAAAAGAGAGCCCTAGGCCGGGTTGAGCAAGGTGTCGGCTTGGGATGCTGCTGGTGTCAGGTGGCGAGCGGTTTTCCCAGGAAACAAGCCCGCGGTACGCTAGCGGCCTCAAGCTTGGTGATTGGTTGAGTTGTCTGCTGCAGGCCCACCTTTGCGCTGGGTGGGCTCGCACTGTCTGGAGACCTGACTGAAGACGTGCGGGTGACCCAAGCCGTCGGAGAGAGCTGGGAGGTGATTGAAGAGGAAGCGCGCGGCGTGCGTTGACCAGTCAAAACCCACGCTAACCTCTTTGAATCGCCACACCGAGTTCAACAAAGTTGAATGAAATGATTGCTGCACCCTGATCCTTTCTCTCTGTTGACTGTTGACTGACTTGGTCAATCGATTGATTCCTGCTTTACTTGATACGCTTCACCGAGATGCCGGACGACGGAAGGAATTGAGATGCCGTCGAATGCCCTCAGGTTCGGCTTGAACTGCTAGTGTAGGAAACTAGACCAGGTAGTGTTGAAATTGGGCTCTTGGGAGCCATGGGCCGGGTCTGGAGCAGCTGCCGGTTCGAGCATGTCAGCCGTCAGTCAAGCAGGATGCCGGCCCGTTGGGTTTGCTCCGGGCTGAGGTTGCACTGCTGTTGGAGAGGTCAACTCCTGATCCTGGCACTGGCATCCAATCGAGAAGGCCCAGACGGTGCGTGTGCACTGTGGCGTTCCAGCGCCCCGGGCCCCTGGGGCGGGCGGTCACAAGGGTCAAGCTCATATGAGTAAGACAAGTGTCAGCGCCCGTTTCCTTATCTTTGTTAGTTGCATCTGTGAACGACAAATTGCTTCGGAAACCGCGCCGGCAGAGGGCTCCGTTTCATGCAACATTGTTGAAGATACAACACAACATGTTTGCATTTCACCCGACCGCCCATTGCACGACACCCCCGTCGGCATTGTTTCAAGTCCCACCGGTGAAGGTTTTTAATATCAACCAGACCCTTGGGCCACCTCAGCACCCGACACTGCGAGAGGTTCATCTCATGATGTGGGGGCCGCACGGGACTCTTTCGGCACTGGGTCCGGCCACCGCACCAATCGGCGGGCTGAGACGGCATGCGGCTTTCCGGCGCTGGGAAATGGACCTTGAGAGAGATCCCCGCGGTTTGGCCAGCCGGTCCAAGCTCTTCCAAGCTCTTCTCACTTTCGGCACTGCTTTGGCGATATTGCCCGTGACAGCCAGATCAGACTGCATGTGTCAAAACCGTCAGACGAGGCAGCCAAGCTTCAGTCAAGCTCCTCCTGTCCAGCCGATCGCCAGGCACTGGTGTCGTGTACCGTCACAGTGCGGCCCTCTGGACACCTTCTTCATGCATCCCATCTGCATGCCGCGACGCGGGAATTGACTGATGACAATACACCACTACCTACTACACTGCCGACCACACACAGCCCTACGGATATCTCTGACTCTCCTCAACGATCTGCACGTCCAGCCCAGCCATGTCTCAATCTATTTTCTATTTTTTTTGCAGGACCTACTATATAGTGTACACTACCACTGCGGCGCAGCATCGTGTCCGTCTGGAGAGCTGGAGCACACCTCCCTCGGCTCCAGATGTTGGGGTCCAAACGTTTTAACCCCACACCGCTGCGTTGTCAGAGCTGTCAAAGCAAAGCAGTTGCCTCTGCGAATCGTGATGACGATCTGCGTCCATCTGCCGTTCGTTGGGAGACAAGAGGGAGGCCCCGCGCTTAATGACACCATCTGCAGATGAGATGCTCTTTGGGCCTCTTGGGCCTCAGTGATGGCCGCCCTCGTAAGGCGGCCGACTCGGACTTACCACACCATCGGGTTCAATTGGTTCGGTGAGTTGCTATGCAGCCTCGCGTTTGGTCGTCGTCAGTTGTGTCTTTAGTAGCATTCTGATCATCAGTGCAAGTTTGCAACTTTGCTTCAACTCAACATCTCCTCGCCCAACCCACTCACATGCAGTCCATAGGTAGCCATAGGGAAAGTTCCCCCCTCTTCTGTGCCGGCCTCCCGAGCAAGAAGCCATCTCGTATGTATTATTATGTGGGTGTATGCCCGATGGGGCACCTATTCTCCAAAACAAACAAAGAACCTATAGTTCCCTTTGTCTTTTCCCCCCCTCGACACACTCCATTCTCTTCGGCTACAATTGGAAAATTGTCAATCCTTTGTGTTTTTTCTTGTCGTCTCGTTTTTGTTGTTGTAGGTCAGGGA